AAAGCCACAAAGAAAATATGTGGCGAATTTCTGAAATCTTTACATGGCGACAAATTCAGCGACAACAACAACAACAACAACAAGGAGAACTACTTGTTGCTCTTGTTTTGCCATTCCAAAGTGTTCCATTTCCACGGTGTGTTGACCATAATCATCATTAAGTAGCTGCTGCCTCCATTCGTCATTATGTTTGAACATCATCATCATTAGAGTCATCAAGGAAAACCGCACAGCGACACAGAAATAGAAAGAAGAAATCTCTCTGCACATTTTCAAATAAGGCAAAACGAGGGAAAGAGGGAAAGAGGGAAAGAGCATAAGAAAAATAAACCAGAGATTTGTGGTACGTGAATGAACCCAGAGGTGGAGGAACCCAGAGGTATAAAACTCCAATCAGAAACACACAAACATCAGATATTTTTATTGCAGATTAAACCATAAACTGAGTCGCCATCGGTCTTACGTTTTTTTTTTTTTAGAATATTTAGCATGCTCCTAAACAGTGTTTCGGTTTCCCCTTTTGATGGATCATACATAGGTCAAGCCAGAAGAAGTGTTCCTTCCCATTACATAGAGTTTGAATATTCCTAAAAACGAACCAAAATTCGGATGCCTTTGAGTGTAATTCCCTATCAGTTTCTGTTCTGATGTTCAAGTTAATGTTCAAGAGGTAGAGGGAGAGACAGAGAGGCAAATACTGGCGACATGTGGCTGCCTCATTAAATGAAATGAAATGAAACTTTTGCCTTTTGGTTAATCAGGAACCAGTCGCCAGTCGCCAGTCGCCATTCGCCCTCTCCGCGCCAGAGCCAGTCAATCAGGAACATCAGCAGCAGCAACAGCAGCAGCAGCAGCAGCAGCAGGAGAAGTTAGCCAAATCCCGTTGTCTCTGCCACTGTTGGTGGCACTGGCACTGACTCTGCCCCAAGCCCCTACCTACTCCCCTCCTGCTGGGGGCAAGACAAACCGGTCAAAATTAACCTACTTAAGAGTGGAGGCCAAGTGGCTCTGAGGCAACCAGCTGCCGTCTTTGGGAGCCGCTGCCTTTCCTTCACCAGCAAATACGAAAAAGAAAAAACACAAAAAAAGAGATTCAGATACAAGAAACAAAAAAAAATGCAACTAAAAAAGAATGAAATCAAATCTTGGGTACGTGCCATGTAAAATCAGATGAAGAGTGGCACCAGATGGAGATGGTAGAGCCTCGGACTGACACACGCAAATGTAACCCAAGAAAGTGCGCCTCCCCCCAGCCAGCGATGAATCGATTAATCGAAGTGCAGGTCTATCGAAACTTAATCGAAAATCGAACGGCAGAGAAGCGAAGAAATTTAATCGAAGAGCCATACGAAAAGCATTTCCACCTCGCATAACCGCGAAATGGAAAAGTGGAAAACTCAACCGCAATCAAAGTCAGCGGAAAAACTTCATCAGCATCCCATTTGGTGGGTTAGCCGCATGCAACATTCAGCTGCAGCTGCAACTACAGCCCCGACAACGACTCCGACTCCAGCGGCTTGCCCATTGAGCAAGGTTAATTGATTATCGCCTGGCGTCGCTGGCAATTTGCCTCCTGGCCTGGCCTCCACCGTGCAGCAACCATAGCCCCGCCTGACCATTCGCCTCCCTGGTCGAACTGAACTGCGTGTCCCGGTCCATTGTTGGTAACCACAATGACAAGCGTCACGAGATCAAAGCATAAAAACCAAATTAGAAGCTGGCCATGGGCATGCCGTACTCCACTTCCACTTCCACTCCACACCGACTCCCTACTCCTGAAGATTCGGCCCCATCCGCTCGTGAGGCTGAGTGGAGTCGAGTCGAGTCGAAGGGGAGACCTCAGAGCCAGCTTTGGGTCTATTTATGACCCAGGCCAGGCCCGGCCCGGCCCGCCTCGGGTCTTCGTCTCCTCTGCTTGGAGTCAAGAAGAGGCTGTGTGTACGAGTACGAGTTCGAGGATAGTACTACCCGCCTAACAAGATTTGTGTTCCATTTTGCTGTTGCCGCTGCCGCTTTTGGTAGCACCTCTGTTGAGGTTTTGCTTTGCTTCGTTGGCTTCGTGTCTGATCAGGTCTGTGACAGCATCAGCAGAAGTAGCAGCAGCAGCAGCAGCAGCAGCAGAAGCAGCAGCCGACACCAAGAACAAGCCAGAAAGCAGCTTGGAAAATCAAGTGATTACTGTCTCGTATCACGAGTAATGAAACGTGACTCAAATCGCAGTTAAACACCCAAAACCGGAGCCAGCTCCCAGCTCGCCATCAGATGGCATCCCATGCCATCCCATTCCATTCCACCCCACACACGCGCAAAACCCCCAAACACCAAACACCAAACGAACGAGGTACAACACGGGGCAACAACAATTAGAACAAGCCAAAACAGCGATACGAACATGCTGGGATGGGATGGCGGACAACGAGCAGTGAACATAGAACACAGAGAACACAGAGAGCAGCGAAGAGAGCTGCGCCAGCCAAAGCAATCACAAAGGAGATCACACAGAGAGATGGAGGAGAAGGAGAAGGCGAAGGCGAAAGAGAGCGAGAGACACAGGCAGAGGCAAAGGCATCATCAATGTCCCAGTCATGTCAGCCATTTGGGTAATGTCGTCGCTGCTCGAATTTAATGGCCAAAAAAACACGGCAGGACTGAAGACTGTAACAGCAGCAGCCGAACTAGAAGAAGAAATGTAAAAAGAAAAAAGAAGAAGGAAAACATCGTACACACACACACACCCATTAAAGATGTGCCCCCGAGGGACCTGGGACCAGGGACAGACAACAGATGAAATCTTGTGGGGGCAAGGATTCTCTTTCGATTGAGGGATTCACTCAATGCTAATAACCAAAGGCTAACCAATGACATGTCCTTGCAATTATGAGCAGCAGCTGGACTCGTAATTGAATTATTCGAATGTGAATGAGAGAGACAGAGAGAGAGAGAGAGCATCTCATCTTCTACGCTGCTCCCCCTGCGTTGCCGCCCCATCATCTTTCTCTGGGAACTCTGGGAACACAGCTGGCCGTATCCATATCCGCTGCATGTGACCATTAAATCTTCTCTTGATATTTGCATATATGAAGCGATTCTTCTACGATCTACGGGCGGGCTTAGGGCATTGGGTAGATGGAGAGGTAAAGGGCAAATGCAAATCTTTGACTCTGCGGTTGCGGCTGCCTCTGCCTCGTTCTTGCTCTGCTTACTCAAGCAAAGATGACACCAGAAAAAGGCGATCTGCATCTTTGAGCAGCGTGCCCAGTGCCCAGTGCCCGTTCCCAACCCCAACCAAGACACGTGTGTCCGTGTACGTGTACGTTAACGTGTATCTGGATAGAAGAGATCTCTGGGAATGCGACACGACTTGGTGTTTGAAATATTTCACTTTTGGCTAGCGCCCTGCCCACCGCCAAGACAATGGCCAAGGTCTCGGACTGTGCAAGCGATTGCGACTGCGACTGCGACTACGACTCGTATCTGCTGGACTCTAGGCCCTGCTCGTTGGACACTTGGTGTTTCCCTGGCACTGAGATAATACATGACATTAGACACAACACCAGGCGCAGCACAGCAACAGCAACAGGAACAGCGTACCCCAAGTCGAAGATCTCAAAATGGAAAATTGCCATGCATAACATATTTTTGTCCGTTATATTTTCTTTTTTTTTTCTTTTGCGTTTTTTTGTTTATTGTAAAGACTTGCAAAGTGGTCAAGCGACCATGATTAGAGCGGGCGGGTGCAGGGAATGAAGAGTTGGCATTGAAGAGGCGCGAGACAACGCTTGGACGGCAATTTATGCAGGGCTATGGTTGAGCAGGGCCGGATTTAGTTCTTATGGCGCCCAAGGCACAATCCTTAAGGGTCAATAATGCAAAAATCAGTTCTGAATTGATCTATTGGTATGACCCAAGTAGCTAACCCACCCATCACCAAGCTAACATGAGACACAGGGGGCCGTACATAAATCCGGCCCTGTGGATGAGCCACAGTGTATGTACCGTTAGAACGGTTAGATATTGTGATTTCCAGTGTTGGCAGTGGGCTCGAGAGTGGAGTGTCTTGCGAGTGGGAGGATCAGGAACTGTGTGATCTACAACAAGCTTCGATCGGCGATTGTGTGGAGATTGATGGCTTTCTCCATGGAGGAGGTGATTGTGAGGCTGAGCTGGGCGGAAAGAAGATGCGCAGCGGAGTGGTGGCTTGTGATGGATGTCCACTGGAGATGGATCTATGTACTCCCCACATTGCGGTTGGGTTGCTGGCAAAAAAAAAACACAATTTGGGGGATCAGTTTGCATTTTAATAGTGTGCTTGACTTTCACTCCAATGACTCTTGCTCTGCCTCTCTCTTTCTTTCTCTCACTTTCTCGCCCCCTGCCGCCATCCTTTGTCACTAGTCGGCTTTTTACGCTTCTGCATTTTTATCTCTCTCACTCTCTCTCTCCGCTACGGTCAAAAGTTTTTGCCGCATGCCCCCATAAACCAACTACACTCGTCCCCCGTCCGTAAACCTCTTGGGTCCACCTCCCACCAGAAACCAACAGCCACCAACCGCCCTGTCGCTGAGACGTGTCGTGTGTCATCCAGTAACGGTAATTTACACGGGCCATAACGCGACATTTTGTTGTTGTCGCTCTCTTCTGCCTCTGCCACGACATCTAGTGGGATGCGGGCCCAACGTCTGCCTGCTTCTGTCTTCTGTGTCTGTTTTTTTGTTTTTCCGCTAATTTTGCTGCCGTTTTTGTTGCTTTGCACTGACAAAAAATAGTTACAATTTTTTACTCGTTTTATTTACCAGAAATGGTTCCATCCGATACATTTTTAATGTGAAGTTTAAACTTAACTTTAAATGTTTAGAATAATAAACATGTACGAATGTATTTGTGTACATAATTGTACATATATATGTATGGTACTCTCTCATTAAATTTGCTTTCTATTTGCTATTATAATTCCAAAAACAGCTTATTGATTTCTTTATTTTGCTCTTTTCCACTTTCAGACTCTCGCAGCGCGCCGAAGAAAACGAAAGAGAAGAAATCGAAAGCAAGAAAGAATAAAAGGTAACGACACAAATTTCACCCAAACACAAAAATCACTCAAAAAGTTTCCATTTCGTTGGAAAATGTTGTTTTCGTTGCGGATTTTGCTTGATATATAATTAATCTAAGCTAAGCTGATTATCGGGATTCTCTTGTTCTCCACACCATCATAAGATCTGTCTCACACTCCTTCTTTCTCCCTCTGCTCTTTCTCCTCGTATTTGATTGATTTATGGGTTCGCTGGCTTTGGCGTGAGGCGCGTTTAAGTCATAAAAAAGAATCCCGAAAAGATCATGGGAAAATGCCAAAATGTTTGTTGTAACAGAAGATTTGCGGGAGCGGAGGAGGCAACGGGAGCGACAGCATGGCCATTAACAGCAACACGACTTCTGCTCTGCTAGCCCCTTCCCCTTGCATGAATCGTATGGGTTCTAAACTCGCTTTCACCGAATTCATTTTATTTATTGAAATCTCTGCATGTCGAGCACGTTGGCACGAATCGGAAAGAAAAGAGATGGAGAGTGTGCTTGGCAAGAGAGAGAGAGAGAGAGTGAGAGAGACACAGTGACAGTGTGGAAGAGTAGGAGAGTGGAGCGGGACATTTGCAGAGCATGTAAGCGGAATGTCTGCGCTCATGTGTTCGTGTACGTGTGCATATGCATATGTATGCATACTATTTGTCAGCAGTGGAAGAGAAGCAAGAAGATGGAAAGAACTTCCACTGCGGGAGCCGAAGCTTTTGATACCCTTAAAAATCGATAAAAATACTTAAAAATAATTCCTCATTGGAGTTGGTAGAATTTAAATACAGAAATATTATTTACATACGTATTGAGGCGAGATGCAGTAGCAAAGAGTTGGGCTGTGTACACTTGTACATTGATCAATCCCCAGCAAGAAGAAATAATTCACATGCAAAGAGAGACTTGTTTTCCGTTCGATGTGGACAGCTTAACGATAGTTTTGATGAATCCAGCAATCAGCTAGCGAATCCTTGCAAATCAGACCCGAACCAGGGTGCAAGCCGCCCAGTCACAGTTCCAGCTACACATCAGAGTTCCCCATGTTGGCAGTGCCACGATCTCTGCTGCTGCTCCGCTGCGGCTACCACTTCCAAGTCGCGGCCCGAACCTGAGTGGCATGTGAATGAGGAGGTTGGCCGCCGTCTCCCCGTTCTCCGCACTCCACACTCTCTTGGTCTTGAGCGAAATTGGTACACAGGTCTGTGGGGCAGATTGTCTTAGGTCGTGCCAACAGCGATGCGCATAATAAATTTTTGGCTTTTGTTTTTGCCAAGCCCCAAACAGCAGCAACAGCAACAACGACAGCCATAAAACGCTGTCCAAAAGAAATGAAAATGAAAAGTTCTCAAGCGACAAATGCGGAGGAAAGGCTTTGCAACAAAGGCCTTTTGACACGGCACGTAGAGGCCCAGAGAGGCGTACGAAGTGGGTGGGGATTGTGATGGGGGGTATAGGTAGGGGCAGTGGTACAGTTGGCACTGCTCCATGCATAATGAGCATTTTTTTGGTTAGGTCTCGCTCCACATTCGAGTGACAAACATCAACAGCAAAGAGAGCGACGGTAAAGATGGTAATAAATGTACGGCGGCAATTAAAGCCGAAAAGAAAATCAAATAGTTGCGGTGAAAAGCGGAGTAGTAAGCCAGAAGAGGAAGAATCGGCGGGCTGAAGAAATTGTTGGACGCCAATCAATACACGAGGAGGTGGGGACATTAAATAAAGCAACAAAAGAGACAGAGGAAGAGCCACATAAACTAATTGTACAGAAAGTACATTGTACATTGGATTTTGATCAGCATGAACTTTCCTAACAGTAAATGATGAGCAGAGAATGAGATAAATGTACTATGCATAGTATATACATAGATACATATGTATGTAGGTATTGTAGAGGTTCTTTTATGGATGAAAAATGTGTGAAGCAAAAATGAATTAAAATCGAGCAACAGAAATTCGAAGCGAATGGGAAAGAGTTTCTAGTGCGGCTTCATAACTTGAATGGAATATGTACTCATACATACATTTTACATATGCATGTACATATGTATGCATACATCACTTATTGATTACAGCTGAAGCCAAACACTGAGCGACAATTATGCCCCAGTCTCAAATTGAGTTCTCATTACGTAGAGTGGAACTCTGTCTCAGGGTGTTAGCTTTAGCTCTGTCTCTCTCTCTCTCTCTCTCGCCCCGTCTATTGCTTAGCATAAATACTCGAAATTCCTTTCTCATCAACGTAGCCGTCCAGTCATCCAGCCATCAGGCAGTCCAGCCATACAAAAAGCGGAACGAGGCAGAAAGGAAACTAAGCCACAAACCGCAGAAACTCATTTGACCGCAAAGAGAAAGAGAGAGAGAGAGAGGGAGACAAAAGTGACAATTCAGCGACGATAGGGAATGGCTGGGGGATGTGAGGGGGAAGGGAATGCAGACGACTCTAGTCTGGCGAGGAGAGACATTAGCTGATGCACATTTCTCACACTGGGAACTGGTTTGATTTAGCCAACCTCCCTGCACAGCTTCCCGACACTTCCACCTGGAGCTGGAGAGAGGGAGGAGGATTTGGAGGAGGGACGTGTCGGAGCTCCAAACGGCCTGGACAGGGGCCAGTGGCCGCTGCAGCGCCAGCCAAATGAATATCCGCCTGACCCACATCCAGTGGCAGCATTTGAACGGATTTGCATGGCTCCTCAGACTGCGAGCTGAAGAGCTGTGGCAGAGGGGGAGATCCAAGTGGTTGCATCAACCAGCTGAATCTTTGACATGGTTGCTCCCAAAATGCCATTGGCGACGTCCGCTTTTCGTGCATGTCCAATGTGTGAGTGTGAGTCTGTGTCTGTGTCTGTGCCTGAGTGCCGCCAGAACTTGGCCTACATCTTGTGACCGCTTTCCATTTGGGCTTCACCGTTCCTTCAATTGGAATCCAGCTCCCAAAATGTTCTAACGTAACTTTGGCTCCTCCACACCTGTGCCCCAGACGGTCAAGTGGGCATCGCCTCAGCTCAAGAGAGAGATCGCAAAAGAGTTTCACTTTGATTGTTCGATCAGGTTCCCCAATTGGGAGAGTTGGGCCCATCGAAAGTGATTGTGGATTGCTGGGAATTATCAAATGAATGCCAGCATTATGGCCAGATAGTGACATGTGAATATTCCACAACACAAGACGCTGCCAACTGCCAATTGATCAACTTCGATTCGGCTGTTTTTTTCATCGGATGTATTAATCCTCCCATCAAAGAGGCATCATCAAATCTCAAGCCACTCTGCCTCTGATGGCTCCTTCTAAGAGCTGCAACTAAATCGGCTAATGCGACAGACGTGGGGGCAAGTGCAGTCCAGGTGGGGCCAGCTTATTGGTTGGCATTCCAATGCGTTGAAACTTAGGCCATTGATGTGGCTGTGGCTCTGCCTGTGGCTGCTGATGTGTTTTTGGCTTTGTTTGCTGATGTGCATGTGAATGTCGAGGCGACCCTGCAATTGTGCGTCATTAACATGCAAGCAACATGTTGTTCCTGAGTAAGGGAAAGGATGGGATGTGATGTGATGGGATGGCTGGTGAGGAGTGATTTGAGCAAACAGCATTATCGGATGATCATCTTCAAGTGGCTCGAGGGCCGACTAATGACAGTGCAGCATTCTCTATTGCTTGGCCTGTACAGCCGCAGCAGCCAACCTGCATCCCCCATCAAATCCTCTCCTGCTGCCTGGCCTGATCATCTATCTAAATACGTGCGTGGCGGGGTAATTTTTGTGTGGGCTGGGGACGAGGGAGATGTATGTACGTAATGTAATGGTGGAACGACCGACGGTGGATGGATGGATGGATGACCTTTTGCCATCTGGCAGTATTAAAATTTTGAGCATTCAAATCGTAGCTAGATATCTCTCGCACTCCTCAGCGCTCAAGCTCTGCGTCTCGCCCCCCCTCTCTCCCGTTCTTTTTCTCTCTCAATCTCTCTCTGTCTTTATGGTGGCTCCTCTGACAGTTGGCCGCTGCTAACCAGGTCAACTAACGGCAAACGTCCGCAAGCTGTTAAAGCCAACTTAAACAAATAGCAAATAGCGCCTTGCCACCGATCCGAGCCCCCTCCCCACATCCATCTCGCGCTCTCTCTCTCTCTGTCTCTGTTGGCCCGCATCTTCTTGTTTGGCTTGTTTAATGGCCTGGCTTATACTTGTGCTCCTGCTGCTTCTGCTTCTATCTCTCGTTCGCCTCTCTTTTGGCTCTTTCTCCGATCAATTTACGCACAATACTCGCAATTTGCATTCAACTTTCTTTCAATTTCAATTTGTTTAGTATTTCATTTGGGTGGAGAAACAGACAGACAAACAGACAGACAGACAGGCAGACAGAGAGATAGATACAGAGAAAGATTTAGTAGAGAGAATGCAGAGACGGACGGCTCTAATTGGTTCAATAATGGCCCATAATTGACAGAGAAATGTTGGTAATTTGCGCGTTTGGCCATAGCGATTTGCCTAATCGCTGGAAACAGTTAGAAAACGGAACGAAACGGAATGGAATGAAACGGATTGCCGTGCAATGGAATGTCACGGTCGTTCGCTCTCCCTCTCTCTCTCTCTCTCTCTCTTTCTACTGCGTCTCCCTATTCTCACACGTTCGTTTTGTAGCGGCAAGTTTGTTGCCTAAGTCTTTTGTTTCCGCAACAAATTTGCCCAAACATAAAATGTTGCCAAGAGGAAACTGCGGAGATTTGTCTGCCAGAAAGCAGTAATATATTGAGATTTATTTATAATTAATACTCTTCTACTCAGCTAAGACTAAACTAAAACTAAACAAACTAAAGCAAAAAGTGTCACGAAACTCCTTAGAAAACCTAAAAAACACACTCAGACACACATACAGCATACAGAAAAGGAAAGTTTTGGAGTGAGAGGGAGGCAGCAATGACAATGGCAATGGCTGTCCCTGCAGCCACAATGTTGCATTAGACTCTGTTCGTCGGGTGAACGTCACGTACTGCAGCATCTCG